TTGGGTTAATGTTTCATCGGAGTGGCTCATGTAAATTTGTATGGAATATTACTTGTATTAATCGAATGTCTATTCTTGAAGAGTGGTACTTCCTTGTACATGTATTTGAAAGTATTTCTGGGTTATGATGAAGTGAACATTATATTTTCACATTAAAGAAATTATTTTAGGTAATCCCTTTGAGATATTTTACAAGTTATTTATTTTCATTGCCATGACATTAGTTAGGCTCAAACAAACAATTTGTTGGTTGAGTGGCAAACAGTTTAACTACAATACCACTGCTCTCTGTTACCACACAAATATCATAAATGGACTTTTCCATTTATCAAGCTGGAAAAAAATCATTCATTATTTTTTGGAAGATTTCTTCAAAATAAGTACCGGCTGAATAGTGTACAGTGTAGACCATGATCATATGGCATGGACTTGTTGCAAGGTTTCCATAAGTGAATGTTTGGGAGTCATTTGTTTTTAGCTCGACTTTTTTTTTTTTGAAAAAAAAAGTAGAGGTATTGTTATAGTCAGGTCGGCGTTGCCGTTGCCGTCTCCGTTGCCGTTGCCGTCCGAAAACTTGTACCTGGATCATAACTTTTTTATTTCTTGGTGTATTGTCTTCATACTTGGCCACAAGAACCCTTGGGAACAAGACCTTTCAGTAGACCACACTAACCTTGACCTTCATCCATAAATGACCTTGACCTTCAAGGTTAAAAGTCCAATTTTTGCTTGTTCATCTGCTGTTATTGGCTGTTACTTTGTTATTTTTGAATGGATCTTGTCTTCAAACTTGAACAATAATAATCTTCAAGGATATCCCTTAAAAATAACCAGTCAGACCTTGACATTCACTCATCCAATGACCTTGACTTTGAAGATCAAATTTTTGAAATTTTCATTTTTTTTGGCTATTATTTGGCTGTAACTTTGTTATTTTTGAATGGATTGTTTCAACTTGAAAGATAATAATCTAAAAGATAACTGTTTAAAAATATACCGAAAGACCTTGACCTTCACTCATTAATGACATTGCCTTTGAAGGTCCAAATTATTGGAAATTTTCATTGTTTTGGCAGTAACTGACTGTACTTTGCTATTTTGAAGGGATAAACTTCACTATTATAACAGAACATTCTTTAAGGACCAGACTTGTAGTGTTTATCAATAACCCAAATTTGCTTGGGCTCTTTAATGACCTTGACTTGAATATATTACTGAATTTTCTCAGATTGTGCATACTTACGTGTGTGTGTACTATATATATGTATTTATATATAAATATATATATTTAAATGTGTGTGTGTATATATATACATATATGCAGGTATATATATTATATTATATATATATAATATATATAGTGCATGTACTATATATATATATATATACATATATTAGATATTATATATATATTATATCAAATATATAATATATATATATATATATATAATATATATATATATATATACATGTATATAATTGCGTCATGTTTTTCTATTTTTAGAAATTGCGTCATTTTTTCTATTTTTTTAGAAATTGCGTCATTGTTGCTATTTTTAGAATTTTGCGTCATTTTTTTTTCTATTTTTAGAAATTGCGTCATTGTTGCTATTTTTAGAAATTGCGTCATTTTTTTCTATTTTTAGAAATTTCGTCATTTTTTCTATTTTTTGAAATTGCGTCATGTTTTTCTATTTTTAGAAATTGCGTCATTGTTGCTATTTTTAGAATTTGCGTCTTTTTTTTTCCTATTTTTTAGAAATTGCGTCATTTTTTCTATTTTTAGAAATTGTGTCATTGTTGCTATTTTTAGAAATTGCGTCATTTTTGTTCTATTTTTAGAAATTGCGTCATTTTTTCTATTTTTAGAAATTGCGTCATTGTTGCTATTTTTAGAAATTGCGTCATTTTTTTCTATTTTTAGAAATTGCCTCATTGTTGCTATTTTTAGTAATTGCGTCATTTTTTTCTATTTTTAGAAATTGCGTCATTGTTTCTATTTTTAGAAATTGCGTCATTTTTTTTCTATTTTTAGAAATTGCGTCATTGTTTCTATTTTTAGAAATTGCGTCTTTTTTTCTATTTTTTAGAAATTGCGTCATTGTTGCTATTTTTAGAAATTGCGTCATTGTTGCTATTTTTAGAAATTGCGTACTGTTGCTATTTTTAGAAATATGCTTAATGTTTCTATTCATATATATACAAAATATATAAACAAAACTAATGTGACAAGACAGACCAACTAAATTTATAAAAAGGAAACATCAATATAATTATGTTCAAACCTTTCTATGTTTGCGTTTAGAAAAAGTAAAAAGTCGAGCGTTGCCCCCGCCCGGCGGTGGCTCTTGTTTATCTTGGCTTGTAACTTAATAAATATAATGCTTTTCCTTCTTTACCTATAATATGTAGCTTTGAATGTCAGACATTTTGCAGTCTGTGACTTCCAAAGTCTGGTACTTTATGGAAAGCCCTGTTTGATGACTGATGTTAGTCTGCACTGTTTCCATGGGCGAGCTCTTTTGTTGCAAGCAGGCAAAAAGTTTAAAACACTGTTCTTTTGAAAATACTCTTGGTACCTTGATGAGGTGGAATTGGCTCATCTAGGCTTGTAATTGTTAATTGACAGACTTGTACTGCCTGCACTTACATTAATACAGAAACTGATTGTCAGATATGTTCATTTAATCAGATTACAGTGGTGGAAAGGGATAATGTGATAACGGTTTGAGGAGTGAAGATTGAAAAATTTCTGCACACTGTGATATATGATTGATAATATCTTCTGAAAAAATCTTAAAGTGAAGTAAGAAATGATTTGTGGTACTTTTTAACCTTTATTCAAATATTAGAAAGTTGTGAACAATGTTACTGAATTTACAATAAACCTTTAGTCTGAAATATCAAGTTATGTCACTGTAATGAAATGTCCAGTTATTTCACTGTGGTGATATATCAAGCTATTTTACTGTAATGAGATATCAGATTATTTCACTGTGGTGAGATATCAAGCTATTTTGTAGTAATCTAATGATGTATCACATTTTTTTCACTGGTATAAGATATCAACTTATTATACTTATTGTAATGTGATATCAAGGTACCTCACTGTAATGAGATATCATGTTATTTCACTGTGGTGAGATATAAAGCTATTTTCCAGTAATGTGATATCAAGTTATTTCACTGTGTTTAAGGAATCAAGTTATTTCACTGTAATGAGATATCAAGTTATGGTAATGAGATATTAATTTATTTTATAGTACAAGTGATGAGATATCAAGCTATTTCACTGTAAATGGTTTAGATTTCAAAAAAAGATTGAGATTGCAAACAAATATTTGTTTTTTGGATCTTAACAAAGTCTCTGTTGTATATACGTTTTGACCCAGTGAATGAAAAAGAATATAAAAGTAGGGTAAATAAGTTATATTTAGATATAGTTTAGATAGTATGGATATAGTATAACTAGTATTGATAAATTGGAAATGTATTTTTTCTTGATAGTTAATATAGATAGCAAAAAATAAATGACAGTTTAATTGAAAATAATTGGAAATTATCTACCCAAGGCACATCACCTAACATTATTGTTCTGTGATTATTAAAAAAGTTTTCAAAAGCGTGCAACAAATGATAAAGTAAGTGGTGTTTATGTCTGTCTTGTGTATAAATGGACTTTGTGCTTATAAATAATGTGCTAGGATGGCCTAGTTTTAAGTAGATTTATATATTGATATTTGGATTAATCATTGCAATATTTTTTACACTCATTTTGTGAAAAAGCCTGGCAAAGCTTTGGAAAGAATAATCTACATAACACATCTATGCCTATCAGTGATTAGATATGATTTATATGATAATCAGGTCAAGATATAGTTCACCATGGAGGTCAGTGTAATTATTGTAAATATTTGTAATAATAGACACATAAATTATCCAGACAGTTCATTATTGAACAGCTGTTTTGTCTGGAAGGGCTGCAGCAGCTTTGAGGCGTATTTAAGGTACCGCAGGTACATGTTAACTCAGTTATAAGTCACATTTTTAGCCATCCTGATTTTACTTCAAAGTAGGGACTGCGACTTACAAGCGAGACCAAATAAAGAAAAAAATCCCCTAGTGACAAACCTTAGGTTAGGACTGCGTCTTATAAGCCAGGGTGTATCTATGGTACTTCAGACAATAATAGGATGTATGTAATAAGTAGATATCATTGTCACAGGACTAGCTTTAACACATTTTTGTGACTGGAATATAGATGCATAAGCTGTCTTAGACTAGTTTAAACTTGTGTTTTGTTACATAGAGTAAAGTAGGGTAACCTGGCAAAGGATGTGTTTATGGAAGCTTCAAAGTGTTCTAAGTGTTAGAAAATTGGTTGTAAAATCAGCAATGAGTCATGAAAATGTGAGCTAACTTCCTTCATTGCTGCATTGTATTTACTCATTGTAAATGTTGTTTAATAAAAACAAATACAAGTTGTTGACAATTATTGAGGATGGAGGGAATACCTGGAATAATATGTAGTTAGTTTAGAATAGTTGAGATTTTTCAGATTTTTCCTGTCAACAACACGTTTTGGCTTTAATATTGCACCAGTTTTATTTGGGAATCCTTTTTTTGTATGAATATGAAACCATTATTGTATATTCTATTTCTTTGCATGTGATAAGGTCCCTTGAGCATCACTGATTTATAATGCATTCTTATGTGTAAAAAAATTAGAGTAAGTAAAAATAAATCTGCTGCACTGATCACTTAATGTTGGAAACAAACTGTTTTAGAAATAAACTGAACTTATATATCATTTATATAATTTGTCAAATTACTGTAATTGAGCAGTCATTGAATAACGTTAGGACAGCTTTACTAGGTTTAAAAGATAGGACGAAATAATACGGCAAAAAAAAACGAACAAAAAAAACACCAAAGAACAAAAAACAACAACAACAAAAAAACAACAACAACAAAAAAAACAAAAAAAAAACAACAAACATAACTTTAAGTATGAAGACAATTAGTCAGTGAATTTAAAGTCAGGTTAAAAGTAAGAATGATATGATAAAGAAAAATAAACATATGTAATTATTATGCAACTTCAGTACTCAATGAATTTTAGGGCAGGTTCAAAAAATAGGACAAAATAATAAGGAAAAAAATAACCAATAAACCAATAAACTTTAATAAAAAAGACAGTAATTTAGAACTTAATGAATTTAAGGTCAAGTATAAAAGATATCAAGAAACCCAAAGTAAACATTCTTTTTTCTCCAATGTTTATTTGTACTAAGATATACCAGGAAGAATAATACAAACATTTAGAAAAAAAATCAGATTAGAAAAAAACAACTTAACTCTGGAGGGGTGTAGATAGATATATAAGAACGGAGAGGTTGAGAAAGAGAGGAAAAATATATTGATCGTGAAATCGTAAAACAGTGAACGGTGAACAGTATGAGCGTACAAGATCATGAGAAGAAGTAGTGCATCTAGAGGTTATGAAACGGCAGCCGTGCAGTAGAATGGATTAATACTCCAGTGGTATTTTCTGATAGAACTAATGAAGGTGATACTGATAATAGGTGAAGGTGGCTGGCAAAAAGAAATATATATAAATATATCAGTGTTATAAATATCTAATTGCCCCTCCTATGAGTTATTTATTAGTTCAGGAATTTTATTTGAAATATTTTTTGAGCTATATAAAAGTGTAGCAGTTTTGGGATGAGTATAGTTTCAATGTAAGAGTGTTGCGTATGCATTGGGATGGAAATTTTTTGTGACTAGTAAAGGTAGGTGATGGATTCTTATTCAGACAAGAAGTCTTGTCATTTGTTATAATCTAAGTTCAAATACTTATTAGCATCATTTTTTGTTAATATTACCTTAATGGGATGGATTATCTTTAATAAAATGCTGTCATTCCTACACTTTTTTGATGTTAATTTGATATTATTTACACTTGTCAGCCAAAGTACAATATCTTGTTGGTGAATATTGTATGGACACTTGTCAGCTAGAGAACATATATTTATTTGAGGTTATTGTCACACTTGTCAGCCACTGTGCAATATCTTCTTGAAGATTATTATGTCACATGTCAGCTAATGTTGAGTTTATTGTTACACTTGTCATCTAAAGGACACTATCTTGTTGGAGATTTTTGTCACACTTGTCAGCCAGAGTTTCAAGCTATTGTGACACTTGTCAGCAAAAATACAGAATCTTATTGCAGGTTAGCTCAGACCTTGTTTTCGAATCTAGCTAAAACAAATATGTTTAACCTAAATGTGACCCTTGTAGGCTAAAACTGTAATGATTGATTATCACATTTTATATCTAATTCCACTGTCACTGTGTCACTATTCAAAGCCAGATGTTGCTACATTGTGACCATTCCAATTTGTCAGACTTGTCATGTACTTAATTGCCACATCAGGATGCAGCAAGTGTCATGTACTTTAACAGCTGATTACCATTCCATATAAAATGCCATAGTTTGTGCTTATGTCAAAGATTTAGTGCATCATTTTATGGATGTTTTAGACCTCTCATACATAGTTCATTTGCCACTGTAAAGCAGTCTCAATGCAATGCCACTCCTTCATTACACAATTTGCAGTTTATTTTTGTGTTTGTGTGGTGCCACTACCATTGTCAGGCAGTCTTTATGAGGTGCCACAATAATCATAACCCAGTTACCACTGTAAGGGTGCCACTAATTATCATAGGCCAGTTACCACTGTAAGAGTGCCACTAATTATCATAACCCAGTTACAACTGTAAGGGTGCCACTAATTATCATAACCCAGTTACCACTGTAAGGGTGCCACTAATTATCATAACCCAGTTACCACTGTAAGAATGCCACTAATAATCATAACCCAGTTACCACTGTAAGGGTGCCACTAATAATCATAACCACTAATAATCATAACCCAGTTACCACTGTAAGGGTGCCACTAATAATCATAACCCAGTTACCACTGTAAGGGTGCCACTTATTATCATAACCCAGTTGCCACTGTAAGGGTGCCAATAACAAACTTAACCCAGTTACTACTGTAAAGGTGCCACTAATAATCATAACCCAGTTACCACTGTAAGGGTGCCACTTATTATCATAACCCAGTTACCACTCTAAGGCAGTTGTTGTGTGGTGCCACTGGTATTTATAACCAAGTTACCACTTTAAGACAATTTCACTGAGCTACTACTCACTCATAGCCCAGTTACCAGTGTCAAAGGTAGTTTAGGTTTGTTCATAACCCAGTAACCACAGTGAAGGCATGTGTAAAAAGTATGTGTTTCTACAGCTGTATTAAGGTTATCACATACTATAAGTCTATAACTGGTTCATATAAAATATCATCGAAAACTAAAATGTCAAAATACTAACAACAGCTGGAATGTTGGCTGGTGTTCAGATAAGAATCTATGCAGTATCTAAACATCTTCTCCCTGAGTGCACCACTGTTTTATCTGTTAATTCTCCTTGTGTATTACGATAAAATGATGGAATTTTTCTGTTAGTGTTTACAGTAAATTAAGCTTAATTAAGTAAGGCAAGTTTACAGTTTACATTGTTTATAATTCTTGTATTGTACTATATTAATGTGAACAGGAGGTATTTGATATACAGGAAATAATACTGTTATTACTATAATACTATGTAGGTATGTATATTTTATAGTGAAAATAACTTTTGATGTCTTCAGTAGATTCTGAGATTATCTTTGTTTTTTTGGTCAGAATCTTGCTGAGATATTGTCCATGCATAAAAAAATAACAAAATTTATTGACTTATACCAATAAATATTCTGCTGTATTACATGGACAAATATGATGGACCAGAAAAAATATCAGTTTTGCATATGATAGAGAGGAATATGGTTTGGCGTTAGAGTGTGATCTATTTGTTTGTTTGATTGGTTGTTACATGACATCGACACAGTATAGGTCATATGGCAATGTTCCAGCGTAAGATGGAGGAAGGCCTCAGGTGTCCTTCCGTGCAGCTTCATTATTTCAGGCAAGAGCACACTTGAGTAGAATCACCGACATTCCATAAGCTTGTTGGATAGCTTCCTCAAGTCCCTGTAGGGGATTCAAACCCACAGCTGTGAGGGGCAAGTGGTTTAAAGTCAATGACCACTGGGCCATGGTTGCCCCAGAGTGTGACCTGGTTTGGAAAAAGAATGCGATCTCTTTTGACATTAGTCTGGTTTGTGGATAGAGTGTGATTCAGTTTGATGATTGTAATCTTGTTTGGCAATAGATTGTGATCCAGGTTTGGCAATCCAGTCTGATCTGGTTCTGCAATAGAGTGTGATTTTGTTTGGCAATGGAGTGTGATCCAGTTTTGCAAAAGTGTGTGATCCCCTTTTGCGATAGAAAGTGATCCGGTTCTGCAATAGAGTGTGATCCAGTTCTGCAATAGTGTGTGATCCAGTTCTGCAATAGAGTGTGATCCAGTTCTGCAATAGAGTGTGATCCGGTTTGGCATTGTTAAAGTTAAATCACAATTTGAGGATGATAAGTTTTACTAGTAGATACTTACCTAACAGTTTTATTATGTGAATGAATTAATCTTTGATAGTTTTGCCCGATTTTATTATAAGATTCATGTACATATTTAACAAAATTTACTCAATTGTATACAACAAATTAACAGTTGAATTATTCTGCAGTAATTAGATACCTATTTATTCTGTAAATAAATTAATTTTAAACTTTGAAAGTTTTCTTTTGTTTTGTTTTTATTATAACATTCATTAACATAGTTGTAACAATATTTACGCATTTGTTTACCACTAGGGTTAAATTATTCTGCTACTATAGCATAGTTATTTGTTCAGGATTGACGAAAAATAACATTAAGACTGTCCTAGAAATTAGTTTTTTTTTTTTTTGGAAATGTAAGGAAAGTTTAACTGAGGTGCTGGGAAAGTTTAATCAGCGTTCTTTTCTTATTTCAAGTATTGATTATTGAGATCAACGGGAAGTAATCAAATTTATACATAAACACACGCATGGCTGGTGTCTGTCCTGTAACTGGGTTACTACTAGTGCAATATCTCTGGATATAGATTTAATAGAAAACACATATTAAGACAGTTAAGAAAATAGTAGTAAAAGAGAGGCAAGTGTGAATGTGATAAAATGGTTGATTTATTTCACATCTTCTAAATTGACGTCATTCCCCTCACGGTCTTTAGCTGCTACTTTGGGGAATTTATCCGACAGTGTAGCTGAAACCTGATAAGAATGTATGTATGATTTGATGTTGATAAATGTTATTGAACTGATGGAAAATGCATATTGGGATTTATTAGTGAATTAGTAAACAGTTGAGAGTTTGCAGTTGTTGAACTCAGCTAAATTTACAGTTGAAATTCAGTAGTAATTAATTGATAGCAAAAGTTCAGTAGTTATTGAACTTATTGAAACAGTTGAAATTCAGTTCTTTATAATATATTGAACTGAAAGAAACAGTTGGGATTTAGTTTTTATTAAACTTACTGAAACAGTTGAAATATTTTTATTTAGTTATTGAACTTATTGAAACAGTTGAAATACAGTAGTTATTGAAGTCATTGAAACAGTAACTGTTGAAAGATATTTTAAATTTAGTTATTGAATTGTAATAAATTTTAGTTATTGAACTTCCTGAAACAGTTGAAATGTAGAATGTATCAAATACATTGAAATACATGTAAACTATTGATGGACTGACCCAATTTTACTTTTATTGAATTACCAACTTTCCAAATTTCTCTCTCAAGCTACGAAAGAACTAGTCAAAGTCAAAGTCACTATACGAATTCAGCAAAGTAAATGGTTAACCTATTTGTACCAAAATAACTAGTAAGTTATAGCAGGTGTCTATGGTTCTTGATGATACTGTTGCCTTAATAAACTATGTATCAATTACTTATCAATAGGACAAAATGCCAAGAGTGGGAAGCAGTAATGTTGTGGGTTTTTTTTGTCTTTGACATTACCTAAATGTCTGTAAATGTCATACATAGAATTAAATTCAGACTGTTCTGTTTGTATATACTTTATTCAGAAGTTATTTTAGTTTGATCGAGTTGGAAGCTATAAGCTTATTGAAACACCTTAAATCTGTTCCTGGAACCAACCAGTACTAAGCAATGTTAAGTTTCTTGCTCACGGAAATAACAGCTTGCCCCTGATAGGGCTTTGAACCCATGCATTTAGCAATCCTAAGATTACAAGTGTCACATGTTAAGCGCTCGACCATGCAGCCACTCTGTTCGTATTTAATTATTAACCTGCACAAGATAGGGTTTGAACCCACGCTGCCAGCAATCATTATATTACTAGTGTGACGTGTTAACCACTTGGCCATGCAGCATGAAATACTGACTCTAAACCGGCTGGCACCCATGTGTTGGGTAACAATAACAATTATGTTCATTGTTAACCAGGAGAGAGACTTTTATTTGTTAAAGATAATAATTGATTTTTAGCATCCTTGTAATCAAAGCTTACAAATTTTTTTTGAACCACTGGGGTGTCCAATTCCTAGACTTAGCCAGCACAATAAAGTGTTATAATGATGGTTGTCATTGTGAAGGGTTTGAACCCATGACCTCTGTGTTGTTGGGCAGACATGTTTACCATTACTAGACTTTACTCTCTTATATAAACAGCTTTTTATATACCTTTATGTTATAACTGGCATGTTTGGAATTTGGCTAGTATGTTGAACCCCTCTGATATTTGGATAACAATTTATATAATATATAAATGTTTTTGCAGCAAAAATCAGGCAAAAAATAGCAAAATATAACAGCATGGTCTCGTAACACACCTTCCTTATGTAAAAGACTCAAATTACAGGCAAACATGATATTGGCAATTTTACATACAGTGGCACCATTGTCCTTTGGTTGGGGAATACTTGGGGAAACTTGTTGATATTTTTTTACTACAAACTCTGTTATCTTAATTTTTCTGGCATTTGTTTTACGTGTTTCTCTTTTATCAACAATCTACTTGATTTAAATGATGTTATTCCCCATCAAAGACTGTGAAATGTTTTTATTATATACTATTTATATATATTCAGCTTTATTGTTTACCCTTTACTCTCTGGTATACGGAGTTTACTAGGTTAATTTGTTACCGTGTCAATGTAAATGTTTTCTATTGGATTAACAGGTGGGTAATTAGTTTTTGTATTAGGAAGGGCCTACTTTGAACATTTTTTTTCAGGTTATGTAATTAGAAGTAACTTTTTGTTTATTCATCATCATTTAAAGTACTGGTACATACAATATAGTTGTAAGGACAGTGTTGCATAGTCTGCTGGTTAGCTCAATAGGTAGTGCGTTGGACTGTGAATCGGGCGACCCTGGTTTGATTCCCGGACTGTTCAGGTCATTTTTCTTTGTGATTGATCATGGAATCTTTTCTACAGTCATTCACACTGTACCTTTACTCTGGTTTGTACAAAAGTTTCAGTTCCTTGCGAAAGTGAAGGCAACTAGTACTGGTAAACTGCTTGACAGCCTGCCCAGGAACGATGCGGTGGCTGAATTGTACTCTAGTAAATTCAGTGTAGCTTACTGTCGTGATCCAGATGTATATGTCCATCTCTGGACAAAACCCTCCAATCACCTAGTTTGCGGAAAATTTTGTAAAAAGTACCGGCTAAAAAACAAAGAGTGTGGACCATAATCACAAAGCAATGGATGTGCTGGCTGATATTGGTCCATACTGGTGGCGCAAAAGTAGATAGACTCGTATTGAAGAGATCAAAAGGGCTGTTTGAATACAGCAATAAACCAAATCAAACCTAATGTGTTTCATGTACTGTATTTCACTATTCAAGTCTATTTAGGGGATCTTCAGTTATAATGATTTTGTGAAGGCATATATGTCTTTTCTTTCTTTTGCAAAACATTTATTTATGTCTTGTAATTTTTGTTAATTGATTTTTTAATGGTATAATCTTTGCTTGTATGGAATGGAAATTTTTTTATGATTTCAGTTGTAATATTTGTTTGAAAGTTTTTTTTGCTGCGCTGAAGACAGCGATCAGATTTCTAATTTTAGATTGACTTTTTTATCCTTTTCTGGATTTCTTATCATTGACATGTGAAATCTTTAGAAATTTTGTTTCTATTGTGCTCTCGATGGGTGATGTATTGGAATTTTCCTGGCTTACTGTTGTCAATTGTGGTATTGTGATTAGATGTGAATAAGGCGACTGATATCTCTTAGTGCTATAAATAGATTTAAGCCAGACCAAACACTGTTGAAATGGCTGGTTCTGTGAAATTTAAGAGACAAGTGTGATTTTTGTATAGTAACCATTGTGTGAGCATGATACACGTTTATATGTAAATTTGTTGCAAGTTTGAACTAGAATTCAAGATTTGCATAATGTATTGTGATGACTTGACACATGTTTATATGAAACTATGTTGCCAATCTGAATTTTGTTGATAGAATATTTTAGATTTATATTAGGTAATGTGTGAACTTGTGACACACGTTCATTTATATAACTTTCTCGTCTTTATTGATTTTGCTGATTTACATTGGTAATTTGCAACAAGGCGAAAAAAATACACATGAATTTCACTGTTATCTATCAAAAAGGGATAAAAGGTGTATGAAAAAGTTTACATGATTGCGTAAAAGTTTCAGAATTATTTCTGAATTTTAGGATTATTACACACAAAAAACCCTCCATTTTCTGCATAAGGAAATTATCAAATTCAGGATTAGCAGGATATAGTTATTACCATTTTTTACCCAGGCACATGTAGTGTAGTAAAATTAAGATTTTTTTTTGCATTTATTTGAATGAGTGCATCAAATGTAGCTTGAAAAAAAAAAAAATGGATGTATCTTTAGATATAAGAAATTGAATGTTATTTTGAGATTGTTATAAATTGCTGAGTCATTGTAATGAATTATTTTTTCTGTTGCAGGTAGAAACATGCCAGATCATCTGTTCTACCAGCACAGCACAACCAACATTTGAACACATCCCAAAATTTTACCTCCAATTCTCTTCATTCATAAATATCAGCAGAAAGTTTTGGAAAGAGACGGACAATCTGATTGGAGGAGAGACACACTTTGAAAAAAAGTTACAGTTAATTTGATTAGAAGAAATAATAATCAATATAGAAGAGGACTTTTGGTTGGACATTGAAAAAAGAGTGAAAACGTTTGATTGGAGGAGAGTTTAAAGTAACAGAAGTTTTGATTGGTTGAAAGAAATAGGTAGAAAAATATGGATTTACCCGTCCCAACTAAGACATCAACAGATGGTCAGGCACCAGGCTTACCATTAAGGGATCTTGGTTCCTTTGTGCATTCATCAACTGTAAGCGATGCTGAAATTAAAGGTAAATTTCTTTTATTTGTTCTCTTTAATTTGTTCATCATTAACTGACATTGTTTAAGTTATTTAAAAATTTAGGCTTGATTTTAAAGAACTGCTCAGATGAACTGTTTGATCATTTGATAGACTAGGAGACTTACCTACAATTTTAAACATTTGTGTCAAACAGTAAGATCTTAGATCAAGAGGGGCTCTCATTTACAAGCTAATGTATAAGGCCAATAACTGTTCTACCCATACATTAGCAGACTTTATTGATGTGAATGTACTTATTTAAGAATAAGTCAGGATAAATGATGCCCTTCTTAACCCTTATGTCGAGTCTTTATATGATTTGTTAATTGCTGAATTTGTGTAATGGAATTGCCCAGAAGCTGTGAATTTGTTCATACAAACAATCCATTCAAAGTTAGATTTCAGTATCAAAATACAGAAGAAGCGAACAATAATGCAATAAGACAGCATGTTAAAGTATGCATAGGTAAACATGCTTATGTCATTTGAAAATTAGCCAGTTGTCGTCTGTCCACTTAGCTCAATATGGAGAGCATCGGATTTGTAGTCCGGGCCCACTGGTTCGATCCTTTGGCGAGGTGGAATTTTCTCCTCAGACAGTCACATTAAGTCTTCTTTATATGGTCCTTTGTCTCTGACACCACTGATCCAAAGGTAGATGGTCACTGCTCCAAAAACGATTTAAAGCTGGCATGAAAAACAAATGAATAAAAAAAGAAAGAAAAAAAAAAGTCTTCTATAGGAATAAAATATTGTAGCATCAATACTATAAAGTAAACATTCTATATCTATGTTATCTGTAACAGAATTACATGCCTTATTAAATATTGATGAACATCAGAGAAGCTTGGGAAAAATCTTCATCATTATGGAGATATGCGATGAATTTATTCCTTATTGAGGTAGAAGTTTCATTCAGTATTGAGGGATCCAATCCCTCTATGGTTTAAACTGGCCAATTAATTTTTTCAGTAGCCCTCAATATGTACCTTTAGTGTTGGCAGCATGACAAGTGTCCTGGATAGTAGTGTTTTTTGGGGGGAGGGGGTAAATTTAGTGTTTTTCTTGCATTTTTTGCCCTCACTGTGAATGATGAATAATAAACTGTTATTTCTGGGATTGGGGGAATAAAGAATATTTGGGGGTAAAATACACTTTGTATTATTGAACGCCATCACATACGAAACAAGGTTTCAATGAAAATGAATAAAAAAGTAATTAGTTGTTGAGACCCATTTAACTGCATCAAAGCAGGTGATATTTTGATTTTGTGGTGGAGGGGGAAGTTCATTTTGCATAACTTTGATGGGTTGTAGGTGGTTAAAAGCTTCCTGATTTTTCCAGAAATTATGCGTATTTTGGCATGTAGCATGCTTTTCTGCTTAAGTGCATTAATGGATTGATAATATAATAATTGATCATCATTAATGAAGAGTTGTTTTAACTGATTAGTTTGTTACATTATTTATAGATCATAGGTCCGCAGACACAGTTTATGTCGGGCTTCATCTCCCACGGCAACGTCGCAGTCGGCAAAAGCGTGGCCACAAGAGGAAATCATCGCAGCCGCACCTGGACGCTACGCCATCAATGACTGAAGGTGATTATTATATATCAATCCGTTGTCTGCTTAGAGCAGTGGCAATTACTTTGCAAACAGCCTGGTACCAGACAAAACGTCAAGCTTTGCAGCGTTTTGACTGGTACCAAGCTGAGAGCCGCCCTCATTTTTTTATTTCGAGGAAATTGCTTAAATTGAAAAGTTTTTTTTCCAAACAAGCCAAAGGGATAGAATAGAACATTAGAAGTAAAGAATTTGGTTAAGGTTTATAATAAGGATGTGATGATTGTAATAAGCAGAGAAAATTTATTTTTACCATTATATTATTTTATTATAAAATGCACTTAAGTTCAGCTTCTATTGCTTAGTAGTAGAATTAGGCACAATTTTTACTTTACCTTTACTCCATTATTTTCATTTAATTTTTTTTTAACTTGGAAAATGACATTTTTTATGCTCTATAAAAAAAGTAAAAACAGAGTGGGAGATAAGCATTTTAGATAAACTTTATCTGGTGAATCTAGTGATTAAAATAAGTTTGTATTCATTTCAAGGTATTGATTGTATATATTTCTTTATCTTATTAGCAGTGTATTATATAATCTATCAAAAAGTAACGTTTGAAAAGATTAACAAAAGCAAGGTATCTATTTGGCTGAATGTGAACGATGGTTTTCAATTTTTCATTGTATAGATTATGGTCTTAAGATTTTAAAATTTGAATAAACAAAGTTGATTGATCATATTATGTTTAATAAGAAAGCTTATCATATTTCCAAACATTCTTTTTATCAAGTTTTAATCAAACCTTTTATTTGAAAACCACCTCCTTATAAAGACATATTAAACTATAGAACTTATAAGACATATTAAACTATAGAACTATCTCAAAGGACATTTTCTGGCAAATCATGGTTTAAGAGAAGAAATTGTGATTTTTTTCCCCTGCAAATTTTAAAATACCCCCATTATTTCGAAGGAGAGCATATATGCTTGCAGTTGTCTGTCCATCCCACTGTTTGAAGACTGACAAAACAGTGGCATGTAGGGGCATCATCAGTGCCCTTTGGACACATTGTCTAGTTTATACAAGTTTGACTGTATCGTTTCCATAACACATGCATAATATTTCCATGTTTTTAGATAGTATGGTATGGTACAGGTTTGTGGGAAGTTCAGCTTGCAGGCACTTGTACCAGACGTTAATTAATTACTATAGATCACTGTGTTACTATATATAGATACGTTAATTAGTTACAGTAATTATGTTACCTTTTTTTTTAACAGTCTTGTTATAATAAGATTGGCAGTTTTGATAAACTATATATTATGATAGTAGATATTATCAACATTTGTTTGTTTGTTTTTGCTCCATGCTTTTTTGCTTCTTGTTTTTTAGACAGCAGAACACATACAGATGTTTGTAACTGCAGTTCTTACAACTTATCAGAAAAGCTAGTTCAATGGAATGGTTTATAACTTAATAACTTGTCAGAAAGCTACAGCTCATTTAGGATAAATGGTCTTATAGCTACATGCACAACTCATTTAGGATAATTGTCTTACATCTACACCTCACTTAGGATTAATTGTCTTACAGCTACAACTCATTTAGGATAAATTGTCTTATAGCTACATGTACAACTCATTTTGGATTAATTGTCTTACATCTACAAACACATTTAGGATCAATTATCTTACAGCTGTGACTTATTTAGGATAAATTGTCTTATATCTACATCTCATTTAGGATAAATTGTCTTATAGCTACACCTCATTTAGGATAAATTGTCTTATATCTACAGCCCATTTACAATAAATTGTTATACAGCTACATCTTGAACTATGAGTACAGGATTTATTATTCCTTCTGTTGGACAATCATGTTATCTTGAACTATTAGTACAGGATTTATTATTCCTTCTGTTGGACAATCATGTTATCTTGAACTATTAGTACAGGATTTATTGGTTTTTTTTATTGAATAAGTTATCTTGAAGTATAGGATTTATTATCTTTTAATGGGACAAGTTATCTTGAACTATTAGCACAGTATTTATTATCCTTTTAGTGGACAAGGGACAAATTATCTTGAACTATGAGTAGAGGGAAACAACCTGACATGAATAAAATATTGGATGGTTTCATTTACCAATACTGACTCTTGTTTACATTTCTTGCATATTTGTTTATGTATTTGTATAAAGTTATTGCCTATTACTTGTTAATTGTAAACAGCTTTTCTGTTGTATTTTATTTGTCAGAAAACACAAGGAAATATTACCCCCCCCAACGTTCTCCAGTATTAATCAGTGGTTATGTTGTTAATTATTGACAGTTTCCTGGAATGGCATATTTTTTTGTAATATTATAAATTATATGTTCCCTAGATACAATGTCAATGGTGTGGTTTTTCTAAATTAATTAATAAGAAGGAATTGCAACTGGTAAAGGCATCTAGTTTTGGAGGATATTTTTCTTGTTTAGAGGGCACTTCCAGCTATGGGGAAATTAATTTCAGTAATTACTGTATATTGAACTTCATAATAATGGCTCAAACAAGTTTTCATATAAAATTTTATTTCGTATATATATTTTTAAAAAAGAAACCATAACTTATGTGTACCCTCATCATCCCTGCAGCACAATTATCATCATTATTATCATCATAATCAACATCATCATCATCATAATCATCTTCAATAGCAACATTTATGATGATCATCAAGATCTCTAAAAAAAATTTCACCACTGCAGTCATCATCATCATCATTACTAACAACATCATCTCACATTCAACACTGTCATCATTATCAACATCATTCTTGTCATCATCATCATATCATTATTGTCATTATCACCATCATTGTCATCATGATCATCATCATCATTGGCATTATGTCATCATCATCATCTTCAAAATCATCAACATTATCATCATAATCAAATCAATTGTTCATAAATCACTCTGCAAACCCATCATCATCATCATTATCATTATCATTATCACCATCATTGTCATCATCATCATTGTCATCATCATTGTCATCATCATCATTGTCATTATCATCATGATCATCATCATTGTCATTATCATTGTCATTATCATCATCATCATCATCATCATAATTGTCATTATCACCATTGTCATTATCATTGTCATTATCATCATCATCATCATCAATGTCATCATTGTCATAATCATCATCTTCCTCTTCTTCAACTTCTTCATAATCATCAGCATCATTGTTCATCACACACACTTTCAATCCATCGTCATCCTTGCCATCAAGATATGTTTGCTAACACTTGTACTAAACCTATAAAGGTCACAAATTCCGTGTAGGCGTGGGTATATTAGTGTCTGAGAGTGATATTAAATGTCATTATGACAGCTAGGATATTTTTAATCTAGAAAAATGATAAATACCTTCTAGACACTTATCACATGGCAAGATTTTTATTTTAAGCTGTCTTATTTGTTTTGAGCCTCATAAAGATATTTTTGTTGTCTTTTCTGGTTTCTGTTTCTGTGATATATTTTTGTTTCATTAATTGAATTGCCAGGTCATGGCAAAATACTTTTAGACTTTCAGTAAAATAGGTTATCAGATCAGACTGGTATTAGTGACTTCACTGAGGATTTTTGAAATGACTAGACTGAAAATATTTTTGAGGAGATATATGTACCATGATTTGATGGAAGGTCTAGACCAGATTATGTTTGTGAAAAATGTTTAGATCTTTTGCTTACAAGTTTTTTTTTCTAATTGTGAAAAATGACCCAAAGCTGGAAGAAATTGCTGGGATGCACTTTAGACACAATTGAGCATCAGAGTAGAACCACATACTTTTGTTAAACTCACTATATATCTTGTTTGCCTCATTATGAAAGAAACCAAAGTCCCTCTTGGGATCTGAACCCATAGCAGTTCGGTTCAAGACAGTCTGTACAATCATATAACCTAAAGATTCCTTGCAAAAACAAAAAATAATCATATATAAACACAAAAGAGTCACTTGAATATAACAATAGAATAAGTCTAAAAAATTGTTGTCAAGAAATATAACGAGTAATGTCTCTTTTATCATTGATTTTGGCTGGGAAGCAAATTCTCTTCAATTATCGATTAAAGACATCACAATAAAACAAAGTCATCAGTAAACTGGCATTGCCATGATATGTTGCTAGTAAGTTGGTTATAAGCTTCATTTGGTTAGAGGGACTCATTTAAATTACATTATATGATGGTATCTTAGGTAGCTAATAGTTAATTTCTAATAATGACGTTGATACAGTGATACATTAGCCCTTGTTAGTGACACATTTAGATGCATCATTTTTTTTGTCATCATCATCATCATCATCATCATCTACATCATCATCAACAACAACAACAGCATTGTCATCATCTTTGTTGTCATCATCACTATCATCATCTTCATTATTATTATCTTCCTCAATTATCATCATAAAACGTTGTTATCTATCATCAGCACCAACATTATCATCACAACCATCATCATCAATACCACCACCACCATCATCATCATCATTGACAACATCATCACCACAACCACAATCATTTATATCATCATCATCATCATTTATTCTAGCAGTATCATCACTACAACTGTCATTGTCACTTATTATAAATTTTAAATCATCACCAATTATCACTATCATCATCACAATCATCATCATTAACATCATCACGATCACTATTTATTACTAATCCAACATTAATGTCATTGTTCATGTATTTTTGATGCCGTTTGTCACTGGCAGAATTAATTGATAATTACTGGTTAATTATCCAGTTAAGTAAGTTGGGTGGACTGACCATCAGAGATATGGCCAAAACTGAGATGAAACCTAAGTAAAAGTCAGACAAAACAAACAAAACTTGACACAAAGTCAGAGTCATCAAGTTGACGTAATGGACTTTGTGTCGCATTCCTGCTTTAATATATTTCTCTTATTACTGTGAATTGTTTGTTTAATGAATTAAGACTAAACATACAAATTGGAATAGAAT